TGTGACCACCGCAGCCAAATGAATCCGGTCCAAATACCCTCCAAATCAAATTCCCCTTTCCTCACGCCATTCCTTCATTCCATGCGCCCTGACCCTCATCCGCACGTGCCCACTCACACAAGCCGCAAAAGAATGGTGGTGGCCGCCCAACGCTCCGGAAACACATGTCCAGCACGCACACACGCACATAACAAATGACATGTGCAAGCGCACAGCACAACGGCGGAGAAGCGCACACCGAAAGGAATGCGGTCCTCCACAGCAGTCGCAGCCCACCGCGCGCATCACACCCGCAGGAAGAGTGACTCGCCGTGCACGCTCTCTCTCCTCCTCCCCTTCACGCCCACGGAGGAAGCAGCAGCCACCCGCAATCGCCAGTACACGCCACAAAAGAAGCATCCAAATCCACTGCAATGTGCATCCTGTGCGTGCATGTGGTTGTGCGTGCCTGCAGACACACGAGGCAAAGAAGTGAAAACAGGAGCAGAGCATGTGAAGGGACGCACAAACAAAAATGTACAGCAGAGGTGCATGGCAGAAATAAGGAAAAAAAGACTGATCAAGCTCATGATATTGCACTGCATACGAGGCAGCGGCAATTCATAAAAAATTATTAAAATCAAAAAAAATCATCTTCACCTTTCAACCCCTCACACTTGGAAAAAGAAAAAATGAAAATTTAAAAAATGAAAAAATGAAATACAAAAATAAAATGAAAAAAAAAATGAAAAAATGAAAAAAGAAAAAAAGTGGTCCTCTATTACAGCTACACCCACACAATAAAAAAAATATACACAAAAAAGCACCTAACCACCATGTTGCTCCAGAAATTGTCTGCATATATTTTGTCCTAAAATAAAATTAAAAGATATTTAAATGTCCTTCAACCGTCCGACCCTCCGTATGTCCGCACATTGTTTATATTTCATGGGGTCATCTGCGTGTTGCCGCTCCCCTCAGTCCTTTTATTGGTGCGTAAGTGCGGCCCGCAGAGCACAGTCACTCGTGTGTGTGGGGACTGAGAGAAGCACGCAGACATGACGGCAGTCGCGTCTCTCCATCGGGAGAGTGAGCGCAGCAAAAACAAAACAAGAGGGAAAGAAATATGTGCTCCGCCCCACTGGCCCTCGTCGCACGCCCACACGTCACGGCTCCCTCAGCGCGCCGTTCGTCGCGGCCCCTCCTCATGAGCGTGTCGGTGGGTGTGCGAGTGGAGCAGTTGGGCGGGAAACACACGGCACCCCTCACAGGAAGAGTGCAGCAACAAACAATTAAAAGAGGGAAGAGTAGAAAAGAAACGTCCATAGTGATCGCCCCAAAAGCAAAGAGAGAAGGGAAGAGTGGAGCAAAAAAGGAAAAACAGAAATAAAAATTTTTTTATAAAAGCAAGCAAAAATAATTAAAAACAAACATAAAAAAACATAAGAAATTATACTCCAAACAGAAAAGAAAAAAAATTTTAAGCCGAAAAAAAACTCCCATTGTGGTTACACAAAAAAAAAGGAAGGAAAGTACTAAATGAAAAAAGAAATTGTTGTTTGCAAGGTGAAATTTATGCCTAGCGGTGTGTTTGTGCCTGTGTGGAGGATGGCGCAAGTTTCCCACACCAAGGCCGCATACTCCTCACACAGCCGCAAACCCACACAGCCCCAGCAGAAGAAGCAGCAGCAGTCCGCTCTCACGCATAGCGCCAGCAACGCTGTTATCCAACTGCGACGAATTTAAAAGGCTGCTGCTGGGTGTTGCCGCCTCTGCTTCCTTGACCTGTGGATGGAGCCCATCTTTTCCCTTGCCTTCAGCGTTATGTGTTGCTGCATTTGCTGCGTCGGGGGTTCCCACAGAGAATTGGGTTGGTTGTCCTGCCTGCATTTTATTTTCACCTTCCGTCCCCACCGTTTGTGCATCATCAGATGAGGAAGCACCAACATCAGTACTGGCAGCGCTTGAAGATGTGGCAGATGTCGGCTGGTCTGCAGTTCCCTCCCTTGCTGTTTCGGGCTCTGCTGGCCTCGACTCAGCTGGTGTGGATGGAGCGCCACCACTCGGAACACTGCTCGCATTCAAGGTTGCTTGTTCGGGCTCTGCTGAGCTCGACTCCGCTGTTGTGGATGGAGTGCTACCACTCGGAACACTGCTCGCATTCAAGGTTGCTTGTTCCGTCGGCTGTGTTCCGGCAGGAGTGAGCGATGGCACAGTTGCTTGTGTACTTGTGGTCACCGTATCGTTGGCAGGTTCAACGGGTGGGGGAGAAACTGCCACCGCTTTCTCCTGCTTCCTTTCCGGAGGTGGAATGGTGACTTTATTCGCGTTGAGGGCGCCAATCTCAGTTTCATTCAACGGGCGGTTGTACAGAAAGACGTTCGCCACCGTCGCATGGATTTTTCCGCTGCTCAACTGCTCATCGTACGCGCCAAAGTAAAAGTGCGAGACCGTGTTCAGCCCTTCATTGAACGAATTTCTCAGACTCATATTCCAAAGGAGAGTCCCGTCAACGTATACGGAGCCCACACCGTTATGCATTTTGAGCACCACGTGATACGTCTTGTCCACCTCCCATGCGGTAAAATGCTTCGGGAAGAAGTCATGCTCCACGCTCCACTCCATATTCTTATCGTACGAGAGTCCCAGGAGTGTTGTCTTCCCCATTCTCTTCAGGCCCATCAGGGGAGTGATGCCCGTCGGCACCTCGTGGATCGACACCGTTGCCGCAAGAGTAAACCCATAGTTTGCAAAGTGGAGTGGTCTGGTCGGCCACTGCTTGTCCACAGGCCACTCGGCCCCCGCGCCCTGCCCTTCGAACGTCAACCCACTGGGAACCTTTTTCGCCGCACCCCTCACAACGGCATTCACCCCAAGGTACTCGTCCTCCCACTTGTGCCCGTTGAACCTGTCTGCCAAATGGCCCACAAGCCCAGCCGTGGGGAAAGGAACAGAACAGCCCCATCTTGACAGCGCGGCGTTCGCGGCAAGTGAGCTGCAATGTCTCAAGGCATTGTCATTTGCGGCCCAGGTAGACAGTGCATGCCATATCTCCTGCAGCTCAAGCGTCAGATCCAGGAAGGAGACTCCAGAGTCGCTTCTAGCACCGGACTCGTACAAACAATACAGTTTATTATCCGCGTACAACAGGGAGCTGGAGGTCGCGCCATACCCAGTGGCTAACAGGCCAACGTGGTAAATGCGGTTCGTGTCCGTTAGCCACAGGTGAATCTCGCTCCTTTGGCTGTCCCTGGAATATTCCAGCTGGGTGAGGAGGATCACCTTCTTTTCCCGAATCGTTGCAGTGATGAATCCACTCTGAATGTGGAGCCCAAGACCGGCCAATGAGTTGCCCCACACGCGCGAGAGCGTCCCCAGAGCCTCCTTCCACGTGTTCCCCTTGTCAGTCGACTCGTACACCCTTCGGCGATCGGACTCACATGAGGTGATCATGATAATTTTCCCAGCCTCCCACTCAAGGATACTGGGGTTGGTGCAGCCCGCATGTGTCGCGCTGTTCGCAAAGGTCCAGTGCCGTTGACGGGGATTCAAGTACATGATTGTGGAAGCAGTGCTCCACTCCATTGTCAGAAACTGCACGGGAAACACGAGCGTGCCGTCCTTCATTTCCGTGATGGGAGTACTGGCATCGTTGAGGAAGCCAATCAACTCACCGGATTTATAGGGATAAGGAAGGCGAATGCTCATAGAAACGGAACTCATCGAAAAACCTCCGCTTATTTCAGGCCCCGTCTCCAGAAAATGGATAACAGACTCCAACCCACTTCCTCCCCACCAATTGGCATAATGAGGTGTGACTCCCTTCCGTAAGTCGTAGCCCTCCACAAATGCAAAAAGCGGTCCGAAGGGTCCAAAATACGAGGGAAGCGACAACTGGTAAGGGTTTGCAGCAAAGGCGTCAATATCTCCAGTTCTAGGGTACGGACTCCAATTCACCCCACGATCCAAGCTGAGCTGCGCCATCAACTGCATGGACGCACTCCCGCTCCCCACAGTTCTATTGAACTGAGCTCCAGCAATGGCCAAAAGCATCCCGTTCACATTCACAAGATGGGGATTGCGGAAAATGTGGCCAGGGACCGGTGGGTTTGCGGCTCGATAATCCCCTGGCAACGACTCCGAACTGTATCCTCCATAGTAATCGTCCACTGTCGTTCCAAAGCTTTGGGCCTGTGCAGGCCCAGCGGCGGCGCACATCATGATGACGAGAAGGAGCAGCACCGCCGAAGTAAATACACGCCGGGACATGTGGGGCCTCTGCGGCTCACTCTCTCTTCCTTCCCTCCTCCTTCCGCTGGATCCGGTCACGCGGCGACGGTTGTGTGTGCGGGGTGCCTTCACTGCAGCAACACGTGAAAGCATATAAATATGTGTGTGTGGGCGGTGTGTGTGCTGTTGTTGGTCCTTTCAGTGCCTTCGGATTTCACAGTATCGATTCGCGTTCGTTTGATTGCTTTCCTAGCGTGTGTGCATGTAGGAGGAAAGAAAAAAAAAGCCAAGTAAAGAGTTGAGACGGTGAGCACCGCCACCCATCCACAGTGAGTGGCATCATGATCCTCGTCGCGGTCACTCCCAACCACAACAACTCACGCACACAGACACACGGAACAAGGAGTAGGAACATTGCACCAGGAACACACAGCGACGGCCACCACCAGCAGGAGCCACGGCGGGTGTGTTGTTCGTCACGCGTCAGCACACACCAAGCGAAGTACACACACACACATCAACCAGCGGGAGGCAAAGGAGCACAACCGCCCTTCGCGGTGCCTACGCGCTGCAGCCCGTCGTTCACTGCTGCACCTCCCCACACCCTCCAGCTAACTCCCGGCGACTTCTCCGCCGGCACGCATCACCCCACGCTGCCAGATAGTCCCCCGCCGTCAAATCCACAGCGGGAGGAACACGCCGGCACGTGCAGCTGCTGGGCAGGAATCCATCCGCACTCTTCCCAGGCACCCTCAGCACCACACCACTCACTGGCCTGCACGCCGCCACCATCACGCCTGCAACAAGTCGACGAGACAAATTGCGGGCTCCCGCCCTCCCTCCTCGCGAGGCACCGCACGCTGGCAGCACGTCAGGGCGGCCACCCTCGCCACAAACCACCACTCGCAGCTGCGTCTCCAATGCTCCGTTTGAGCCTCATCAAGACTGAATGTCACACCGCGGACAGCCATTCCTCCGTGAAGTGGACGGATGCCAGCGGCGGGCGATACACCGCACCACAGCACGCAGAGGGCACACACCAACAGCACACGGCCAGTCATCATCATCGCCATCACTCCTGTCACTTGCGTGCAGCCCTCAGCACAAACTAACTACCCGTCAACGCAGAGCAAAAGCAAAAGGAGAAAGACACGACCGCCACACCACGCACAGCCACCGCACAGTGACAAATGATAGCAGCCCAGCAGCGGCAGCGCACACACACCATGAGACAGTTGGAACCAGTGAAAGGGCAAAAAACGCGCACAGCCCCGCAGCAAGTAAACAGCAACAAAAACACAAAAAACAAGTAAAAACAAGTAAAAACAAAACACACGCAACCAAGCATCAAAAGTAAAAAAAGTAAAGCACAAAATAAAAGAGGCCGCACAGTATGGCTCCAGCGCGCATGCACTCACACACAAACATGGTCCACGCAAACAGTTGTGGGCGCGTCGTGCATATGACTGTGTCCGAGATACGTGCCAAGTAGCGGATACGGAGAGCAGCAAGGAACACACGGCGGGACAGCGGAAGCAAATTTTAAAAGGCTCAGTATTTTACCTTATTTATTGCGTAAAAACAAAAGAAGTGCACAAAGCCCGCGGTTGGATGCTGGCACGCGTAGCCCACATACAATCTTTCAGCCAAGTGTCCCATACATAAGCGCTGCCAGAACAGGCATGCAGACGGGTGTCATGAAAGCAGGCGTCATTTCCCACACGGTTCTCCAGCGCCTTCGTTGTGGGTGCAGAGGAAAGAGGAGCCGGCATGCTTGCCGTCGTAGTATTGCCTTCGCTGGTAGCAGTGTCGTTGGTGCTTGTGGCGGCGTCCTCTTCGGTGCCTCCCGCTGCACTCCCGTCCTCGCCGGTCTGGGACAACTGAGTCAGTGGCGCACCGAAGTCTCTTCCTGCAGCTCCACTGGGGAATCATGGGAGTAGTGGCTGCCGCCTCCTGTCGTCCTTGTATCTGGTGGGGATTCGGGTGCAGCAGAAGAAGCAGCGGAAGCAGAATGTGCAGCGCCTGGAAGTTCACCAGAGGGAGCGGGATCCGGCGCCCGCGAGGCCACAGAAGAAGAGGAATCCGTCGTGCCACCGGTGCCAGAAATGCCAGCAGGAGAGTTAACACCAGCGCTGCCCGAGGTGTCAATTGGAGAAGGAGTACCAGCGGAACCCTCAGCGCCAGCAGCAGGAGACGCGGGTTTTAGTGTGGGGGAGGCGTCACGAGTAGCCACCCCCTCTTGAAGCACCGAGGGTCCTGCTGCAGGGTTGAAGCTGCTGTTCTGTGTACTCCCCGGATCAGTTGTGCTGGCAGTTGCCTTTGTTGATTTTGCTTCCTCGCTCAGTCCCGTGTTTCCCTCACGGTGGTTTTGCACCGTAACCGCGGCCCCATGCAGGGGATTATTGTGCGGACTTTTGTCCGTGGTGCCTCCGGCAGTTTGATCGCTGGCAGCACCGCCGTCCTTTGGAGGAGATAGAGAGGCCGTTTCCGCGAGTTCCCAGATGGTCTGTTCCCTCCGAGACCTGTGCTAAGGGACTCATCTTCCGTTGGTGTGTTGGGCAGCTGCTCCTGCGGATTCGGAGCGAGTGGCCTTGTTGCCTTTGCTTCGGACGGCAATTCAACACGAGGCACTGGTTCCGGCTGACCCGGTGTAACTATGGTGCCCTCTTCTTGACGGGGTAAACCGTCCTTAGAGACATCTGCCACCACACCATCCTTAACAGTTTCGGTAAGTAAAGATTGGCCGTCCAAATCGTCAGACTCCAGGGAACAACCTTCACTTTCCTCAGTATCTTTATCCGTTGGATCCTCATTAGCACCAGGACTCTCAGATAGGACAGGAGGCTGAACACTAACCCCAACTCCATTTTTGCCGGAAGTTCCACTATCACCAGGAGGAACATAAACATCATCGGCCGCAACTCCACATAAGCCGCACCACAGCACGCAGAGGGCACACACCAGCAGCACACGGCCAGTCATCATCATCGCCATCACCCCTGTCACTTGCGTGCAGCCCTCAGCAAAAACCAACTCCCCGTCAACGCAGAGTGAAAGCAAAGGAGAGAGACACGTCAAACAACCACGCAAAGGTACCTCCAGCGATGGATTCACGCACCACCACAACAACAAGCAGGATGGGCGCAGTAAACGAAAACAACACAAACAACATGAGCGCTCATCGCCACGGCCCTTTCCCATACTCCCCCTGTCACCGTCAGCGTTGCTTCCTCCGCACACACT